ATTTGTATTTTCTGATTCTTTTAATGCGTACTTATTGGCTATGTTTTTTAAAATAAATGAATAAATGTGCATACTTTTCTGTGTGTGAATATGGGTGCACTGCTTCACGAGAAGATGTAAAAATAAATGAGTGAACAAAATGTTGATTGAAAATGAAGACTGGGCCTGCAAAGGAAAGCTCCGAGACAGAAGGGAAGAAGAAACAGAAAGAAGGAAGGAAGGAAGACGTAAGGAAGAAAGGGGGGAAGGGAGAAAGAAAAGGGGAAAAGAAGAACGGTTGAAGGATCCAGGACTCTGTTGCCCAGAGAAGGTAAAGCTAGTTGGACAATTCATTCCGGGAGGTGCTTTCTCCAACCTGTGGCACGTTGTGAGACAATAGTCACGTCGAACGGATAACATTGAATTAAGGGAGAAGGTACTGATCAAAGCACTAGATGTTCTTGGTGCCCACAGGAGAGAATTTGGTCACTTCTTAGAAGAATTCAGCAAGCAGGTTGAGAGGACAGACCTGATGAGGTTCTGATTGCGGGCACCTCCAAGGAGACCACGCAGCCTGTGTCCTAGAGACTTGGCCCTTCTGCTCACCACAGGCAGCCAGATCGGCTCTCAGTGCCCCTTCCTCACCGTCCGTGCAGTGAGGGCCCGAGCCCTGGTGATGCTCAGAGTCAGAACATGGGAGCCACCTACAGCCCACTCCTCTCTTCTTCTGCATGAGGAAGCAGACACCTGCAGGGGTGCGAGATGCTGACTGCTGGGCTAGGCCAGGAGTGAGAGAGCAGTCAGAGCAGCTGAATGAGGGGGATGTTGCCAGGGACAGGGAGGGATCTGGAAATAATGTAAATATCCCCAAAGCTGTTTGGTTTTTCTGGAATCCCTAATTCCTGTCACTGAGCCACTTTCTCCCTAAGCCATGCTCCTTTACACTGCCACTTTGTACACATAAATTCCAAGGGCCGGGATTGAGGGGAGAGCAACACAGGCAACCTGGCTTCCCATCCTAGCTCTGAGGCTTACCTGCTGTGTGACTAAGCAAGTAAGCCATATGCCTGGGCTTTGTTTTCTCCTACTGTGGCATGTGGGCCTGCGGAGGTGGTTGTGAGGTACGTAAAACAATATGTGCCATGGGTCTAGCACAGGGATTGCACATAGTCAGAATAAGAAATGGTTGGGTATTGTTATCAATCAGGGCACATTTATAAACACCTTGTACTGTGCCAATTACTCTAGACACAAAACGAGATCTTCATGGCCAAAGTCAAGTAGATAATTCAGGCAAGAGCAAATATTTATTCAGTGCCAACCCTGGTTTTTTTTTAGTTCAAGTAATCATTCCGTCAGTATTCTCTGTGCCTGGGAGAGCCCAGAGGCTCCATCAGCTCAGCCCCATGGAGGGAGCACTTAGGACCAGACCCTGTGATTGAGCCCTGCATGAAGGCCCAAAATTGTTGGTTTCAGCCTTTGAGTGACACTTAGTCTAATTCGTAACTCCAAGAGCCCTTAATTAGTTGAGTATAGTCCCTGCCCATCAGACAATTCAAATGCCAACCCAGGCACTTTCCACTTGAAATGCCAATGGGACTCAGAGAGGGATGTGGCGCTGGCAGCTCTCTGCTCAGCAGAAGTCAGAATTCTCTGCAAGAGATTCCCTCCTTGTTTTCGTGGGTATCCAAATACCAGCCGGAAGTGGGAGGGGAGAGTTAAACAGGGACTCTTATATATTACTTATGGTAACATAAATGGCTCTCCAAAGGCAACAAGCCTGACTTTCTCTTTCTCTCTCTCTCTCTCTCTCTCTCTCTCTCTCTCTCTCTCTCTCTCTCTCTCTCTCTCTCTCTCTCTCTTTCCCTATCTATCTATCTATCTATCTATCTATCTATCTATCTATCTCATCCTTATTGGATATCCTCAATGGGTATTTTTTCATTGATCTTTTTTTTAAAGAGAGAGTGGAAGAAGAGATAGAGAGAAACATCAATGCGAGAGAGACATATCGATTGGTTGCCTCTCATTTGCACCCCAACTGGGGCCTGGAATCAAACCCAAGACCCTTGGGTCTGCAGGCCAACGCTCTAACCACTGAGCCCCACTTTTTTGTTTACTTATATATATATATATAATTGTAGATTCACATACATTCATAAGAAATAGTACAGAAAGGTCCCAATTCCCTTCTCACATGACTACAGTATAGAACAGTTTCTCATCCAGGAAATAGACAAAACACAACCCACCAACCTTACTCAGCTTCTATCAGTTTTACAGCCGTGTGGGCGCTCACACGTGTGTGTGTGTGTGTGTGTGTGTGTGTGTGTGTGTGTGTGTGTTAGTTCTGTGCAATTTTATCACATGTGTAGATTCATGTACACACTATGATAGTCAAGATACTGAGCAATTCATCCTACCCTTTTCCACCCCACTGCCCACAACCATTAATTTGTTCTTCACCTCTATAATTTTGCCATTTCAAAAATGTTACATAAATGGTATCATATAGTGTATAATCTTTTGAGACTGGTTTTTCTTTCTCAGCATAATTTTCTTGAAATCCACCCAAGTTATTGAATGTATCAACAGTTTGTTCCTTTTTGTTGCTGAGTACTAGTCTATGATATGGATGTACCACAATTGCTTTATTTATTCACCTGACGAAGTATATTTTATTGTGGGTTGTTGTTTTTTTCTAGTTTGAGGTTATTAGAAATAAGGTTTTTGTGTAAATATACACTTTTATTTCTCTGGGATAAATGTCCAAGAGTGCAATTTCTGGGCTGTATGGTAAACATAGATTTGGTTTTGTCATAAGGTTTTCCAGCAGGGTGGTACCGTTTTACACACCCACCAGCAATGTAGGAAGGATCCAGTGTCCCGTCCCTTGTCAACATTTGGTGTGATCACTCCTTTTTATTTAACCATTCTTGTAAGCGTGTAGTGATATCTCATTGTGGCTTTAATTTGCATTTCCCTGATGGCTAATGACATTGAACATCTTTTCATGTGCTTATTTGCCATCTGCATATCCTCTTCAATGCAAAGTCTGACGTTGTCTCTTGCCCATGTTCTAATTGGATTGCTTGTTATTTTACTGTTTAGTTTTGAAAGCTTTTCATATATTCCAGATATGCTCTTTGTCAGATATGCAGTTTGCAACCATTTTCTCCCGGTCTGTTTATCCTTTCTTCTTCCTCTCAGAGTCTTTGAAGAGCGAACACTTTTCATTTTGATGAGGTGCAATTATCATGTTTCCCTTTCCCAGGTTGTGCTTTTGGTGTTGAATGTAGGCCCTGAAAGGCTAGTCCATGGTCCAGATGATTTTCTCCTGTTTTTTTTTTGTTGTTGTTGTTGTTTTTTCTAAAAGTTTTATAGTTTCATGTCTTACACTAAAGTCTTTGATCCACTTGAATTTATTTTTATGTAAGATGTGAGATTTGCATCAAGATTCACCTTTTCACTTGTGGATGTCCAGTTGCTCCAGCACCACTTAAACAGCCTTTCTCAAAAAGCAACTTGGCCATATTTATCATGAGCCTAAACGATGCCCAGTCCTGTTTTTCCTATCACTTCTGGGAATTCACCCTAAGGGATTAATGCAGAAACATGAATAAAATCTATAAGCTTGGGAGATAATCACTGTAACATTTTTTTATAAAATTGAAAAATGCCTCCAGCTAAGGAATTGGTTAAACAGGGCACACATTGAATAATTTGCAACGATTAAAAATATATTTGCTCAGCCCGGCTAGTATGGCTTAGTGGTTGAGCATCAACCCATAAATTAAAAGCTCACTGGTTCAATTCCTGGTCAGGCCATATGCCCAAGTGGTGGGCTCCAACCCTAGTAGGGGGTGTGCAGGAAGCAGCTGATCAATGTTTCTCTCTCATCGATGTTTCTCTCTATCACTTCCTCTCTAAAAATCAATTAAAAATAAAATAGAAAATATATTTTTCAATAACTCCATCCATTCAATGAATGTTTAATCAGTATATCACTGAGGATAACACGGTGAGCAAATTAGACACCATTCCTGCCTCTACAAGATCATGGTTTAGAAGGGAGAACAGAGAGAATAATTTTGCCACTTAGAAAACTACAACTGGTAAGCTAAGAGCAAAACAGGATACAAACTTGTATGCACATGTGACTAAAACTGTGTTAAAATACATGTATGTGGAAACAGAACATTTATCATTGTTTTAGGATGATTGGATGAAGAGCCATTTTTTTTTTTTGTTTTTCATCCTCTAGTTCCTATACATCCCATACACTTTCTCTTTATAATAATAACAGTGATAAAGAGAAAAACTTCTATTGAGAAATAGCTTCTTGTCATGAAATGTTAGTAATGTCCATTTAAAGAGGTGACAGCTACACGTCCAACCCAAAGGTCACGGAAAAGGCCACCCCAGTTAGGTTTCCCAAGGCCTAGCTAAGTCATTCAGTCAGCAAGGATCAATGAACATCTGCAAGGTGACCTGTGTCATGTGGTGCACTCAGCAGGCTTATTTAAGAATAGACAGTCCCTGACCCCTGAGGCACTTGCAAGAAACTCTAATCTCATCTTCCCCGTCCTCATTCAGGCTTCACTCTTTGTGGCTTGTGCATTCACTCATAGGACCCTCTTAACCAACCTGCACAGTTGTCAGGGAGGATGTCTTTATCCCCATTTGTCAGACTGTAAGCCACAGATTGCTTAAGTAATTGCCCAAGGCCAAACAGATCCCAGATGGCAGGCCTGGGGGTTGGAGGCCTGGGCTTCTACCTTTAAGGCCAGTACTGTTCTCAGAATACCACCCCTGCCCAAGAGCAGCTGTGACAACAGTGGGCTCCAGGCAACAAGCAGTTGGCAGTAGGTCATGAGAATTCAAACCATGTAGATGAGAAAGCATATACCTGTGGGCAGGGCCTGGGCTCCTGTCTCCTGGTGTGCCTGAGGCTTGGGGGGTCAAGGCAGCAAGGGGATGTGATTTAAACACCTGGGCTCACCTCTCTTCCCTCCCCACAGATGGTGAAGGCAATCCAGGTCCTGAGAATCCACCTGCTGGAGTTGGAGAAAGTCAATGAACTCTGCAAGGACTTTTGTAACCGTTACATCACCTGCCTCAAAACCAAGATGCACAGCGACAACCTGCTCAGGAATGATCTCGGGGGGCCCTATTCCCCCAACCAGCCCTCCATAAATCTTCACTCACAGGTAACCGCGGGGCGGGGTCCTACCTCCTAGGCTTTAGGAAAAGCCAGATGTAGAAATGCCCGAAGGTCCTGATGACGTAGGACAATGGATTAGACTCATTGGATCCTTTCCCTGGGAGGCTTCTACCCTGGTCAACTCTTCCTCCTGTTCGTCAAACACCACAGTCCCTTTCTGAGCAGTGCTCACCACGACAGAGCAGTAGTGATGCCTAGGAGGTGACCAGAGCTGAGAGAGGCAATGTGATTGTGATTCCTGGCGTCTTGGCTGAGAAATGAGCCCAAGAGTTAAGTAGTGGAACGCTTTCCTGGAGGGTGAGGCAGGGACAGAGGTGGTCATGGGTCCGGCCCAGCCCATGGACTTCTCGAGAAGGCTCACTGAGCCCCTGATTTCCTGGGAGGGGTATTTGGGGAAGGAGTCCTGAATCCTGTCCACCTGGGAGAAGAAGATGCTTCCCCTGTGGCGTTTCTTCCTGGTCATTGTTTACTTGCTCACCCTTCCCAGGCCTATCAGTCCCCCTAAGGTTCAGGGCCACTGTAAATGTCACCTCAAGCCACCGTTTCTCAAGGGTCACCTGCCACCTTCATCCTAGGAACTGGGAAGTGTGGAAACAGTGGCTGCGTGTTCAGGGTGAGAATGGGCAGAATATTTTACCAGAACCTACACACTAAGAAAGCTGCCTGGTGAAACCTTTCTGTCATACTCACTGGTACCCACATAAGCCATAGGCTTCCTCATTTCTTTCTCTCCCCCTGAGTTCCCGAGTCCAGGACAGACCCATGGGAGAGTCCCCAGGAGGTTTATAGTGGCCTCTGCTCATAAGACAAGCAGGCTTGGGAACACAGGTAAAACTTCCAGGAATGATTGAAGGGGGTGCGGGGGAGGAATGATTGGTGAGAGGAATTGGAAAGAGTGCCTAAGAAAGGTGTCATTTTTCAATCCTTAAGTTTTAAGGACCAATACATACAATCTTAAGTTGGTAGAGGCAGGAGAAGGGACAGGCCAGCACGCCTTGCCCATTTTGAGAACAAATATTACATCCAACCCACCCCCGTGGGATCTCTGTGGGACATGCCAGTGCATGCGACATGGGGCAAGAAGTTTTATTTCCTCTTCCCATTGCTTGAAATCGCCAAATCACTTTATTACAGATCTGAAAACAGCCGCCCAGACTTGGGCTTGCTAATATTCTCTTGAAATAGACTCATTCCTTCAGAGTCGTATTGTACTTTCCCTTATGATCAAAATTAGCAAGAAACTTGCATAAAAGAGGACAATAATTGCTCAACGAGCATCTCGTTTGTAATTTATTAGTTTCTATTATTGTGGGTTACCATGGCGACGCTGCGCAGCCCGGGTGACGGGAGAGATGCAAGATAGGCGCCGAGGAGGCTGTGAGGCCTCACCAAATGGAGATGCACATTTTTATCAGTAATTTTCATGAAAATAATAAGTGAGGAGTTAATGAGATGGAAAGCCATCCTGTGGCTATTGTGAATTTTTTTTAAGTGTTGATCTAATTAGAATGCATCGGTCAGGAAAAGTAATGAGGGTTTAGTGCCTCACAGAGATGTGAGGATCATATCAGAAAATTAGCACCAGTCTTTGGAAATAATCAGGTCCTTAGAGAGGTGCTGGGTTTCCCCTCCTGGGCCCTCCCAACTCTACCCAAGCTCTGGTGTTGGGGGTGCAGCAGGACGGTGGGGACAGAAGGAGGCCAGGGGGCTGGGCAGTCACAAGGGCCCCTCAGGGTTGGGGTCCTGAGGCTGACGTGTGGGTCTGGGCAGCAGGGTCACCGTGGAGCTGGCAGAGTTGCAGAGGGCTCTGGGTGAGACGCTGGCCCTAAAGCCAGCCCCTGGGGTCCCAGCATTCAGTGCCTTTGAGATCCAAGGAGAGAAGGAAGCACTTTGATTCCTATCGTGACCCTAATCAGATCTCTGCTGGCCATGAAGCAGGCCCCGAGGCGGCCACTGCAAAAAGGCTCTGATCCACTCAGAAAGAAATCAGACCATCCAAAAACAAAAGCGGCAAGAGAGAGAGGAAAAGACACTCAGCGAGGCATTTCCCAAACTCAGCCTTTCGCTTCCTCTGCAGCACCACCTACGTAGTCCGGGCATCAGTGTAAATAAGGTGATTGCACACAGGCTGCTGCCAGGGCTTTCTACCCTGCTATCCAGCCTGCTCTGGCTTCCTCAGCCTCCCCCCACACACACACATGCACATACACGATCATACACGCACTCTCACACACATGCAAATACAGTCATACACTCACACACAGTCACACACATGCATTCGCACACATGCACACAATGGTACACATGCACTCACATAGTAATGCACTTACACACAATTACATTTGTGTACATGGCCACATATGCATTCACACATGCGATCATATGTGCATATACATATATACACATATTCACACACACATTCATCTGTTTGGTGCCACCCCCACATCTCTGCAGGACCAAATCCAGCTCTTCCCCAAGGGCAGTAACAGGGCTGCCCTCTCAGGGAGACCTCCCTGGCACTCTACCCAGAATGGACTTTTCTCTTTGGGCCATTTGTGTGGTAAATAGCACATGTGACTCTATATTATAATCACTTGCCTACACCTCATTTTCCTCTCCTGGATCACAACCATGATTTGAGTAGAGACAGTGTTTTATATATTATTATAGCCCATGCCCAGCGGCGGCTCTCATGGGGCCTTGTGCAGGAGAGGCGGCCAAAGGAGTACTATGATGAGACAGATGGCGAGAGAAAGCCAGAGGAGAAAGGAGAAATAGAAGAAAGGGAAAGAAAGACAGATGTCGAGGGTTTTGTTTAAGAGGGAGGTAGAGAAAGACTTGGAGGAATTGGAGGAATGGAAGGATTGAAGGAATGGAAGGATTAGAGGAATGGAGGGATTGGAGGGATGGAGGGATTGGAGGAATGAAAGGATTGGAGGGATTGGAGGAATAGAAAGATTGGAGGAATTGGAGGAATGGAAGGATTAGAGGAATGGAAGGATTGGAGGAATGGAAAGATTGGAGGAATGGAAGGATTGGAGGGATTGGAGGAATGGAAGCCTTGAAGGGATTGGAGGAATAGAGGATTGGAGGAATGGAGGAATTGGAGGAATGGAAGGATTGGAGGAATAGAAGGATTGGAGGGATTGGAGGAATGGAAGGATTGGAGGAAATGGGAAGAGATTCAGACCTAGTGAGGGAAGTGAGGTGATGAAAGGCAGAGGCAGAAAAGATGCAAGGAGGACCGGTAGCAATCTGAGATGAAAGATGTGGGTCAGTGCAAAGTATGAGGTGTATGGAGAGTGTGCTGTCCCCACTGCACCCCTGGTCAGGCTCCCACCATTGTTTCTCGGAGGAGGCTACGGTTAGCGTGGGCCTTCCAAGGAAGGAGCCACCAAGGCTGCCAAAGACTTTCCAGTGGAGGAGGCATCCTTGAGATTTGAGCACAGGAGCCAGTACAGAGAGGTGAGAGAAAACGAGTGTATGTGTGCATGCATGCATGTGCACGCATATGAGTATGCGAGCGTGTGTGTACACATTCGTCATGGTTCGATCTTAATCCCCCAACCCCGAACTAGCCATGAGTACCAGCCTGGCCTGGGACGGGTGTCTGCCTCTGGAACATGATCCTGGGGATCAACATCCCTGCAGCCTGCCAGCTTTGTTGCAAACTGCTGCCTCATGGTTTTCCCCTCATGCTAATCACTCAGCCTTGTGTTGCAAAGTAGACGTTCTTTAATCCAAATGTGTTTCCCTCACCACCTCCTCAATATCATACTGGGCCCCTATCCAGCTCTGCGAGGTCAGGGCATGTTCCCTGCTTGGTGAGTTTTCTCTTTGGGGGTGCAACAGGCATGAGAAGTGAGGGAGACTGCTACTACCGAGCTACAGAACTACAAGTTTCAGGGACTCTCTCCTCGTCCCTGGAAAGCCATCCTGCACCCCTGTGCCTGACTGTGATTGTCCAGGCTCCTCAGAACCCAGGATTCTTACAGGGGCAGCATCCTCAGCAGGACGGCTCTATTAGACTCTGACTCAGGGTTCTCCTGACTTAGATGACACAAGCTACACCACCCACTGGAGAGAACCTAACTCCCACCTCGCTCGGGTATTAATTTGACCTGCAATCCATCCCTCTGTCTCCATGGAGATTTAAATCTCAGCTCTATGCCAGGACAAACCTGGCTGAGCCATGGTTCTCATTCAGTCGCCAAGCATTTGCAGGGCACTTACTGTACGCACCAAACTAGGCCAGGAAGAGGGATTATGAGTCACATCTGAAGAGCTAACCTGTGTGAGCCATGGAAGACTGGGGGTCATGGGAGTACTGAGGAAGGGCAGGAGCTGCCGAAGAGGAGCTGCGGAACAGGGTCTGAACTGAGCAAACCACGTGTGTGGCCTGAGGTTGCTCAGTCACCACTCGGCATCCTTCTTCCTCCCGCAGGGAAAGCCCAGGCTCAGCCTGCACACCCTCATAGCCAGTGGGCTAGACAGGCAGCAGGAAGGGTTGGAGATGGTGTAAATTCCCTGGACTTGGGAAGACTTCTTCGGGGAGGAAGCATTTCAGGCTTTTTGTGGGGAAGAAGTGAAGGTTAGTAGACACTCTGGGATCTCTGAAGGCGAGTGTTCTCAGCTAGAGAGAAATCAGGGAGAAGGTAAGAAACAACCTTTCAGAATCCCTGGTGAGAAGGAGCAGCCATTCATGCATCAGGCATCTATTCAGATACCTACTGAACCTGCTGACTTCCAGGGAGAGAAAAAGAGCTGCAAGAAGCTAATGATGATGCCTACCTGTTGGAAGTGAAAATGGGGTCCTTTCACAGAGCCCTGAGACAAGCATTTCTGGGGACCCACGCATGAGAGCTGAGGTGATGTGGTGAGATCTATTGGGATGGAAATGGAAATGCTGCCCTGGATGACTCATGTCTGTCTGTCCCGCTGAGGAAAAAGTCCAGCCTTGTCTTCATCAAGCCCAGGAGAAAGGCC